GTGTTTGTAAGTAGAGGCGCTCTAAGTTACCTCATCTCTTTCAAAGCTTCACTTATTTCCCAATATTCCTGGTAACTCCTAGACTATCTATCGACAGTATTGCATATTGCTGGAGGACACCAAGTAAATGCTCAAGAACTATGGGTTAATCATGGTTACAAAATCACTCGTGGGTTAGTTCCAAATGACATCTTTTGTCCAGTTTAGCTTTCTGCCTATTCTCTCTGAATGGCAGAAGGCTTGATATTTCAATCTTGGGTCCATAAATGGGCAGTGAATGAATAAACACTACAGACACCTCCCTTGAGCTTTACATTTTCTGCTTGGACCCAAACGCATTTAAGCTTCATGAGAAAATGTATCATCCCCTTGTCTTGTCCCTGAAAACATTCATCCTGAGTACCTTTAGTAGCAGGTTCTGTCCTCAACATGGGGAAAATAATAATAATAAGTCAGTTTTAAAAAAGGTAGTTCTCGCTCTCATATGGACAGAAATCAAATCCAACTTGTTTGTGTCTGCATGCAGAAAATGCAGGTCTGTATTTCTGTAGCCCTTTTAGAAGAGCCCACAGCGAACGCAGCGTGTCCTACCCAACACTTCATCTTTTAATGGAAAGACTTTCTAGTTACTGAAGCGGGGTGTGTGCATGCCCAAATAATGCGAGCAGGGGATGCTGAAAATGTCACTGCGTCCCCTGATATATTTCTCTAAAGAACGCAGAGGCTTCTCAGGCATGATGTGACCTATGAAAACAAAAATTCTATTCCATTCTACAATCTTTTTTTGTACGACTTATTCTAGTCCCTTATAAGCTACTGGAGCAAAGACAAATAGCCCTTTCCAATTTGACTGTGCTATTAGCAACATTGTCACCAGCCTTTATTTCCCTTCCTGCATCTCTCATCTGATGCAGGGCCTCAATCCATCACCTATCTAAGCACTCCCTCCCTGAAAATAAATTATGAGGAGGGAAAACTGGCTAGTATTTTAATCGAAGGGGCTGATCTAGGGAGGGAGTTAGCTGACCAATCTGCAAGGCCTCCTCACTCTTGGGCTTTGACCTCAAAATAGAACACAGTGAAGACACAAAGACTCGGCTGCCAGTCAATGCCCTCTCCACATCACCTGCTATAGTACTAGCCAAGCGATGTCCTAAGACACAGATGCGGCCCTCACTCATAGATTGCCAGGCTCTCGAAGTCCTCAAAGTGTGGCATGAGTTCTGTCTTTCAATTACACACCACACCCTCGTCCATGCACCAGGCCTTAGGAAACGAGTCCCCGCTTTCTACACTCTCCACCTTCGTCCATTTGGTTTGTTTTCTTGGAACTACTACCCCGTGTGTCTGCTCTACTTCACACCCACTTCATTTTCCACTGATGAGACATCAGGCTAGTGGCCTCGAGGTTGGCGGTTCAAGCCCACCAGCAGCGCTTTGGAAGAAAGATGAGTTTAGATTTCTATTTTCAACAACCCTAAGGTGCAGATCTACGCTGTCATTTAGGGTCACTGCAAGTTGGAACCAACTCAACAGCAGCCGGTTTTAAGATCTATTAGCCCATTAAGTCTTGACTCAAACCAGTTAGACTTCTCACGTTTTTCTCCTCCACCTCCGACTAAAACATTTGTAATTTGTTTTCCCTATTCTCAGATGGAAGTGTATTCACTCCTTGATTAGATTGTTTGCTTTCTTGTCATAATATTATATTAAAATGCTTTTTTAAAATAAAGAAATGTGTGGACTAGTTTGTTTTTTAGCTTCAGCATTAAGCCTAAGATATAGTAATTACTCAGAGAATATTTTTCCTCAGTAATTTATTTTCTGGTATTTATAGCATGGAAATAAAATGGTTAAAAACAACAGCTATGGGTTATTGTATAATAAAGGGGATGTTTGATGGTCTGTGAGTACTCTTAGAGGAGTTAGGGTAGACTTTTGAAACATTTCTCTGGATGTTGGATGGGATTCTCTTCCAAGAATATCCCAAGGGTCCTAACATCCTTCAATTGAAAAGGTAGAAAACTTAGGGAGAGAAAGGGTGCCAAGAGCTTGTAGGAGACAGAGGTAGAAGGAGGACGTGGGAGGAAAGATGGAGGCAGAGAGGGAGGCAAAGCGAAGGAGGAAGAAAAAGGAGAAGGAACGGAGAGAAAGGTTTGGAGGAAGGAAGGAAGAGAAGGGCAGTGGGAAGAGAGAAGGAGGAAGGATGTGAGAGTTTACAGGACCATGATCCCCAGCTACCCTCAGGCCTCTGGTTTTGTAGCCAACATGTATTGAAAGCCGCCAGCAAGCTGGCCTGTATACTTTATTGACTGTATAAAAGTGTGTGCACAGAGCCTATTAAGAAAAGAGATGGAACATTCTCTGAAAATGGTACAAGAAACAGGATGCAAGGAAATGGGTACTTTTTAATGGGCACCAAGGACACGAGGAAAAATACATCAATAAAGGAAGGCATCCATAACAACGATGCAGCATCTGGAAAATTGAAAGGAGATCTAAGCTAGACCGGGACACAGCCCAAACGCATACTGTCTACTGGTCAGCCAATGAGCTGTGGCGGAAAAGATGAATGGGTTCAGCTGCTAACTGAACCATAAGTGGCTCAAATCCGCCGGCAGTTCCCAGAAGCTCTGGTGGTTTTGCACCTGTAAATATGACAGACAGCCAAGGAAACTCGGTGGGTCCATTCTACTCTGTCATAAGGATCTTGCTGAGTGGAAATTAACTGAATGCTATACCACCACCACCACTAGTTAGCAGTTGGCTGCTTATGAAGATCATTCTTTTCCTATGCTCGCTTGGAGTACATTCGCTTTGGTCTTGATCAAAATAATTCCATTACTTCCATGTCTGACGGTTGGTTGGGGGTGGTTACACGTTGGACTGCAGGGTCATCAGTTCAAAACCCCCAGGGACTCCAATGGAGTAAGACAGGGCTTTCTACTCCAGTTAGTCTCAGAAACTCACAGGGACAGTCTGCCCTGTCCAACATGGTGGCTGTGAGTTAATATCAAGCAGTGAGTTGCAAAATGAAATTGAAAAGGCAGCGCTACATACGAGTTGGAGGGAAAAAGTGTGGGAAAGCCGCACTATTTTAGAAAAGCCCGTTTCTGTCTGTGCCTGTGGATTTCTTTCGCTGATGAACCGCTAAAGCCGATAGTCTTTCCACTTGCAGCGATTCCACGATCATTAAATGTTGAAATCATTATTAATTGAAAATGGATAAGAAAGCTTCCTTGCTATTGACATACCTAACACTTCACATATGAAACCAATCTACACTCCACTGGGCCACAAAAGAAACACAGAACTAAACATCCACAAGTGATTCTGCACTGACCCAAGATAAAGACCCACTTCAAACTCGGGCAGGATTCAATCAAGAGGAAACTCATTAAGCAAATGAGACCACTGTAGCAGCGTCCAGGGCCCCCGCTCCATCTTACTCTCTGTGTGGCTTTTCGACAGCCCTGATTTCAGCATCTCTGTTGGCCGGCATGCCTCTGCTGAAGTTCATAATCGACTCTGCTATTTACAGACCTGGAGCAGTCAACATCTGTAGTGAGGCTCCTGGAGTTGATTTAAAGTCTGCAACATAAGCATGCCCAATCCTAATGGCTCACATGATGACACATCTTCCTTGGGAGACTGACACAGGGTTCCCTGTGTGACTGGTAATAAGGCATGGTAATGCCAGGCCCAGATGCAGTCTCAGTTCCAGGGAGATCGACCTCATGATGGATGGGTATATGCCAATCAGACTAACATTTGTATCTGGAAACTTGACAGTATATTCCACACAGTATTTTCCTGTTTCCTTTTTAAATTTTTTTTTATTTCGCCCACTACATTTCCTGAAGTGTATCAAGATGTTCTGCCAGAATGACAAACACATGATCCCAGTTATTGGTATGGAAAGATATGGCAGACTGCTTCCCCAAGCAAAATTTTATATTGGGGACTTTTAACAATTAATTGCACTTCTGGCAAACCCACTGAAAATTAAATTAACTGGTGGAACTATTTCATTAGAAGGCCTTGGCAAAATCAACCAAGTAGATGGAAAGCGGGATATAATTAAAAATGGCAGGTGAGCTGCTTTCTGGGTAATTTTCAGTTACAAGCATTTACTTTATGATGCCTTTATCTCCTGCCCCGGAGCAATTGTCTCAGGGCCAGAGGCTGAGCCCAGCCCATCTCTTGTTCCTGACACACTCCGGAGCACCACGGGGAAGCACCACGGAGGAGCACCACGGAGGAGCACCACGGAGGAAGACACAGACGTTCTGCCCTCGTGTCCGTGCTGACACATAGCAACCCACACACCTGTGGGTGTGCGAGACTGTAACTCTTTATGGGAGAAGAGAGCTGCAGCTTTCTCACACAGCATAGAAGGTAGTCCGTGAGTATCATTATATCCGTGTGTGGGAGGGCTTACACACTGGGCTGCTCACAGCAAGGTCAAAGGTTGGATCCCCCAGCTGCTCTGTGGGAAAAAGAGAACTTTATAGTGCCATGAAGACTGCCAGCCTTGGAAACCCACAGGGGCAGTCCTACCCAGTACTTTAGGGTTGCCAGGAGTCAGAATCCACTTGTTGGCAGTGAACTTAGGGATGCACTGTTCGTACACTGTGAACTCTGGAATCCAAATGTGCCTAGTGGCCCCACTACTAATGACTGGCTTAGAGCAAGTCACTTAATCTCTATGGAAACCACACGGTTGTATGCACGGTTCCTGAAACGTGATCCCCAAACCAAATCAAGCCCACTCATAAGGACACATCGCGATGCGACAGTACTGCGGAGAATAGCTGCGGACAAAGGCTGGCAATCTTCACTGAAGCCAACTGCCTCATCCATCACCCACAGAGCAGCTGATGGGTTTGAACTCCACTCCGCCCAACGCTGAACTCACTGCTCCCCCAGAACTCCTGGAACCATGATAAGCACTTAGTCAGAGTAAGGCTTGAGAATAACAGAGACAATAACAATTCACTCCCCGTTTTTAAAAGCACTCATTGGGCCTTTTGCCAGTGACCCACTGCACCTTCATAAAGGGCAGATTAAAAAGAATCACTTTTGGGAGAAGCGGCAACATCTCTCTGGTTCCGCTTCCATCAGTGTTGTGACGACAGTACCCACTTTGGGGACTAAAACCAGAGTGGGATCTGGGTGGAGAGTTTTTCAGCTGGGTGTGGGTGGAAAAAAATAGCCATGGGGGAAATGTCCTGGTTATAAGTGGCCTATAGCGATCCCACAACTTCAAAGTGGAATAAATAATAAAGCTGACTGTCATGTCCAAAAAAAAAATAATGCACTCATCATATATTTACTAAGCACTTTGTCCCCCTTTCTTTTCCTTTGTTGAGGGGCTGAGTGCAGTAGGAATCAGATCGACTGGGGGGCTGTGAGGAATTTTGATCCTAAGTGTTGCTCTAGTTCTGGGGACCTATGTGTTAGCAAGACCTGCCCTTACAGACCTTACATTCAAGTGAGACCAGACGGACACCAGCAAATAAGCAAAAGTATAAAGCCAGGAGGAGGAGAAAGAAGGATGAGGCTACGGGACCACATGTTTTGAAAGAGTGACACCCTGGAAAACATCTTGGGGGAGAAAAGACGCAGAAACGGCAGGAAGGTGGCAGCATTCCCACGGCTCATTAGGAAAAGAAGATGCCGGACAGAGGAAAAAGAAGGGCAGAGCAAGCAGAAAAGGGTAGACAGAGATGACTTCAGACAGGAAGTGAGTGAGGCCAGAGGCAGGGGGAGCCCAGATGCAGTCAGAATTTGTGATGGAGCAAGTAGGATGCTTGGGGTCATGGTAAGGTTTCTGGGCAGAGAGAGGTGCGTGGTCTAACATACATTTTATGTTAAAAAAGATTAAGAGCTCTGGCTCTTCCTTGAAAAACAATCAGAAGGCAGATCCAACCAAAGCATAAATACCAGAAAGGAAGTTACTCCAATAACCCCAGGTCAGAGCTGTAGGCAGTCTGGACCAAGCAGTTGGGATGCTGAGAAACGCTAGGATTCTGGCTATATTTTGAAAGGAGGGGAAACTGGATTTGCTATAGAGCTGAATATGGAGTATGGGATAGAGAAACTGTAACTAACTCCTATTCTTTGATTTGAGCAAGGAAAAGGACAAGATGGGGATAAGGAGTAGAGAAAATATTCAGGAGAAACCTGCTTTGGAGGCAAGACCAGATGCGTGTCGTGTTTTGGACATATTACATGTAGACACTCAGGATCACACTCAGATGGGCAGGGAGGACAGGTAAGTGGGGAGGAGTCTGGATTCTGAAGAGGAGGTCCCGGTTGGAAATATTTAAAGCCAAGAACTGCATGAGTTCACCAAGTCAATCAGAGAAACATGCTCGCACATACGAAGCAATTATCACATCCCAAAGAGCCTTGGTGGCCACATGGATAATGAATTGGGCTACTAAGTGCGAGGTTAAAAACCCACCAGCCGATCCACTGGGGAAAAGATGAGGCTGTCTGCTCCTGTAAGGATTTCCAGTCTAGGAAACCCCAAACGGGGTAGTTCTGCTTGATCCTTTAAGGTCCTTA